CCAAGTCGCTTCTTTTACACAAGTCCAATGGGAGACCCAAAATATAGAGGGGGATTTTTTTCTCTGCTGCGTGCGCTATGGGGGACAAGCGCAGCGTGCGAACCGTAAGGGGAGCACCAACCCTGTCACCCCTGGAGGAGAGAAACGACGACCGCGGTTATCATTCCCTTCTTCCCCGATAATTCCTGCTATTCTACGTCAGCCTACAAGCCGCCGACTCGATCGCCGAGCGCGAATCCCGGTCCCACGAACTGAACTTTTCAAGAATGTGAATTGATCGGCCCCGTCCAGGTGCATCAGCGGTCGATCGGGACTGATCGGTGTGGTTCCCAGCGCTTGTTGCGATTATTGAGTCATTGTTTACACCCCGGGCTGGATAACCGATTCCACGTGCCCTTTTCGAAGTGTTCCCCGTCACGCCCGACGTCTCGAGCCAGCAGATTGAGCCAGCGAGGCGAAGAATGACGAAGTCCTGGTAGAAGCACTCCAGACATCTTACCAATCCTTAATGTTTGGAATAGACGGTCAGGTACTATTATAAGCGACGTCTTTCCCACGCTAAATGATAACAAATAAATTTAGTATTTCGTGACGTTTTATTCAATTTGAGACTTTAATTCTGTAGCCACATTAAGAAAGTTAACGCACCCGCTATCACTTAAAATGATCACCTTAAGCAAAACTTTTTTGCGGTGCGACATATTAATTGATCAATGAATCGAGTGTCACGTATAAAAAGAGAGTAAACCTTCGATTTACCGTCTCTAGACCTTGATTTTAGTAAGAAAAGGTGTGATGTAGAGAGAATCTCCACTTCCATTTAAGCCAAAAAACGCAAGATAGAATAGAGATGGCTACGTTTGACATGCTCATTAATGTCCCTTGAGATGGCTACACCTTTGTAACGCAATATGAGACATGCTATACATGGCGACTAGTCGCCGAGTTGAAGCCCCGAAGTGAAATTGACAGACGGCAGCATTGCGAGTGGTCGGCGTAGTCAGCGTTGTATAGTTGACGTGCTTGGATCATGATTGGCCACCTCCGTTTTAATTCGATTGAGCTCCAACATCACCACTGGATCACAATTCATTCTGGTCGCCAAACAAATCGTCTTTTGTACCGCCTCCAAATCGCTCACAGGCTGGCGACCAGGGGCGGTCATAGCACCATGTGACAACCACGAATCATCCAGTGAGCCAGGGTACCCCTGCTCAAAACCAGGGTAATTGCTCAGTACACTGGTGACATTGTTGCTGTTGCGGCGGGGTGCAGCTGGACTGGATGAGAATGCCTGCATGTCGACTGGTGTCAAGCTATCTGATTTTGTAGACTCTTGCACTATCGTATGGCGGGTCAGGTCGTCCGAGCTCAATTGTATACCAACCGTACCTTGAGCGGCATGCAGCGCCGAGTCGGCAAAATCTGCATCTGTCAGGTTTTCGTCGGACACCTTCTCAGAACTAGATGCCACGACCTCAATCAGCCGCATGAAACTGACTAGCTTTAAACGCTTCAACAGCACTTGAATCTGCGCATCAAGTTTATCATCAATACGGTCGTCCGGGGCAACTGCAGCTCCTGTCTCGGTAGTAAACATCACGCCCACGTGCGCGAAGCTAGCAATGATGCGTGACCGCGGAATTTGCTGCCAACCTTGTACCATCCACTCTACAACCTTTTGCAATGGAATATCGTAGATATCAAGCTGACCTTCCTCTCGCCGGTCAAGCGCGTAGTCTAAGAGCTGGTAGCGGTAACGGCGCTTGACAGCAGCCACAACGCCTATTTCTAAAGTTCGAACACAGAGCTCTCCAGCGTGGTTGCGTTCCACAAAATGCATCTTTACATTCGACAACGACGCTTTTTGCACGCACATGGCAGCTACTGAGTCAACAATAAGCACAATATTGCGGTTAGTAACACGCATGCGTCAATCCAGCGCCATGAGCCAGTCTCGTAGCATCGTCGGCGGCATCCAGGCTTTATGATTGCAGGCAAATTGATACGGCCGTTCTTCCGCCTTTTGGTTCGAATCCATCGACAACAGGTGAGGTCCGACAAAAAACGGATTAAGCCTATCACTGCCGTCCGCGTTAAGTGCCAATAGCATTGTCAACTTTTTTTCCGGATGATGATTAGATGGTTACGTTTGCCTGTCCGGACTCATCGCGTAAAACAGCCGCGTCTCATGCAGCCAGTAGACATTTTCCGGCGACACATCCGCCACTGCCGCTTTGATATGGTCCGGCGTGGAGATCACCGACGTTTCCGGTGTCAATTTTGGTTTACCGTCCGCTTCTTCATGCTGCGTTCTTCCTTTGCTGCCTTTGCCTCCTTCTAAAGAGAATCCATGCCTTCCCATGAATGAATGCATCCAGCTATTTGGAAAATTGAGGCGGAGAGCATGTGACACTTTTAATAGCTGCGGGGCTAGGAGCTCATAGAATATGCGCGCTTTGTGACGTACGAGATCTCCTGGTAATTTGAGTCGTCTTGCTTGGCAGTAGAGGAACCAATTGGCCAGCGCCGAGTCCACCTCGGGACTGTTGACGGTGCGCAGCTTCTTGTAGTCCCGACCTTCACTAGAAACGAGTTCGAATTGCGTGCGTTTCTTGAGCATGTAGCTCGTGTCGGCCTGCGATGGCACATAGTCGAGATTGGACTGCTCCTTAGCCCACTTACCCAGTTGTGTTTGGGTGGTCTTGAAAACTATCGAGCGTGACGCTATTGCTCATGCGTGCGCCCGTGCATTGGCTTGTAAACATGTGGACTACACGTCCACGATATTGACCTCAGTATATTAGCAATTTGTACGACGCTACATGGAGGTCGTCAGCATGCTCTTCTATACGGTCTTCTACATGCACGTCTAAGATGTTGGCCGTTGCTTCACTTGCGGCCAATTTTCCGATTCTATGCTACCCAAAGTAATTTTTCATGCGCTAAATACCGTCAAGTTAAAAATGCATCTGCTGGTGTAACGGGCAAGTAGTTACGCGAGTCCGGTAAGTATATGATACTTAACGGGGAGGTCTAAAAGGATCTCCCATTTGAGTGAAACACATCAATGTGACCCACCCTCGTGAATGTGATATCCATGGATGGATTTATATTTGACGAGGATAATGGCCAGTTGAAATTCGGCGTCATGGTAACGTCATCTGCGAACTTTTATATATATTTAAATTCGCACGCAGCGATACGCTTTCAAAAATAGGCGAATCTAATCTTTACATTTTACCGATCCGTAATTAGATTTATATTTAATAATTTTCTATTACATATAAGTCAGTCCTGAATTTGCAAATTCCCTTTCACCGCGCACGAGAAGCTGAATAAGCTTCTGCGTGTCGTAGGTGAAGTAATTGCTAGAAGTTCGTTTCGTGGTTTGCTTTAAGCGGAAACGTTTGGTACTGCGCTTTAAGCGCTGACCAACACCACCGCACGCGGAGGTAAGACGGTCTAACCGCTTTCTCGCGCTGCTTGAAGATGTGCCCACGTAGTACTTGGCAGCTTCATTACGAAGTGCCTGTCTACACTTGGTAGCACTCGTAGTCCATCCCACGACCCGTCGTCTCTCTGAGCATGCGGGTGGATACGGAAGTCCCTCAACGTGGATTGGGATGATTTTCCTCACCTTTCCCAACATTATAGGAAGTTGGCTGAGTATATGGCGCAGGGACTTGGTAAACAAGCCCTGGCCAACCTCTTTAATTGTCTTACTGAGAAACATGTTGCTCAGTTGGATCAATACGAGGCGTTTTGAGCTCGGACAGCGCAGAAATGCGTCCGTGGCAAACAGCCAAGCCACGGCTGAGTCCATTAATAAGACTCAGGAGAGCTTTTGCGTGAGCAAGCTTGGAACGAGGCGCTCAACTGAACTGTTGAGATGCTCTCGGCCCGGTCTGATTAGCCAAGACCCGTTCGGATGGACCCTTCGCAGTTCGATGGAACTACCCCTCACACAATTGTTTACTCGCTATTAGCAGTAAAGCAATGTGGAGTGGCGCAGCTCATCGAAGATGACACCAGAATGGTGTCGTATGCCATGTTTAACCTGCGTGGCAAAGCGTCAGAGTGGGCGTACTCTGCGCTTATGTAAAATGCTGATGCATTTCCATCATGGGCAATATTATGTCAAAGAATCGTGCAATGTGCCAGCCGCCTAACAATGAAGTGTTGCTTTGGCGCGCTTCTTTGGAGCACGACAGGCGAAACGATCTCTGCAAGAGTATGTCAGGAAATACTTTCGCTGTCTGGGTCCATTAATTTGGGTCCGATATCGGAACGTATCGAGGTGCCTACGTTCATGAATGGAACCC